CTCCGCTTGACGATCGACACACTCGTCGACCACGTCCTCGCTGCTGCTTTCGCACTTTCTTTTCCTGTTTGCGCAACCTATTTCCTTCGCCAGGGCAATCTCAACGATCTCCTCCCATTCGATCGGTTTCGTATCTTTCTCAGACGCGGCGTCCTTCCGATTTCGCTTCTGCGATCCATCGTTCCAACCCTTCAAAGACGAACCTCTCAAACCATCAAGCTTCAGCTCGCTACTTTCGCCACTCGGCAATTTCTGCTCGATCTCCGCTGTAATCCTCCTCCACTTCCGCTCGTTCGATGTCCGAATCACGCTGCTGTCGTCCCAACCTTCCTCCATTCGCTTGATTCGGTCATCGATCAAACCCACGCGCAACGTATCCGCCCAACTTTCCTTCTTCTCTTTCTTCCTCACGCTCTTGCCGCCAGATTTCGGCAGGCAAGAGGACACGTGCACACTTCGGCCAGGTTTCTTCTTCGTATTCAACTCGTTCAGCGATCGAGCAGCTCCGCAAATTGACAAATTCGACGGTGAAAAACGATTGTTGATGCTGATGCTCACAAACGCGTTTTGCACCGTTTCGGAAGAATGCATACTGTCGCTGTCGCTACATTCCAGGGAGCTCGTGCCGTTTCTAACGATCCTTCTGTTTGACGATTTTCCAGCGATACCGCTGGAATCACGGTCTTTCGGCAATCTGGTAGGAAAGGAGATGGTCGCGCAACGATTGCTTTGTTTCGCTATTCCATTGCCGTGCGCCTTACCGCGACAAGATCTGTGAAGCAGGTGATGCGCTCTCAGGGACTCTTTGTCGAGTTTGTCCTTGTTTAGAGGCATCTCGTTGGTAAAAGATCTCTCCGCGGTTTTTCTCTCTCTTTCTCTCTCTTTCTTTATTTTTGCGCTTTCTTGTTACCTTTTTTGGGGCTAACCCTGTTTACCGATCAATGCACATTTCTTTTTGGCGAGACAAGGTTCGCTGGTTTGAATATTTAGCGAATTGATACTTCAGTTCATTCTTCTGTGTTTAAACACGTTGCGAGATCAGAATGATATTTCTTTCGTGCTTCTTATTCTTCGTTCTAAGGAATCTTCTGAATTTAAGATAAGCTGCTCGAGTACAGTTTCTCTTACTGGATGATGTGTATCATTCGATACTGTTTTACATGGTTCTGTTACAAGTTCACAGGTCGTTATTTATGCCTGTCGTGCGTTTGGTCCAGAATATTAGCTTCCAGTCACTGTTGTTAACAAAGTAGAGTCGAACTGGGAGTGTAACCATCGTTCTATTTAAAGTTGCATTAGTTTCCTCTCTGTACCTCTGAATATTTCATTACAGCACCGACACTTTGCTACCAAGTTACAAATCGACTTGAAACGTCTCGACCATTCTAAACACATCAATCATTAACCCACAAGTGAAATAACTCTAGGAGAAAGAGTATCGTCGATACTACAGAACATCTCACAGCAAACACTTGTCACACCCATCGCTAAATCCAAGAAAATCCAGAATCACCGACACTCGCGCGTGCTGCTTGCGAACACTTGCTAAAATTGCAGGAGCAATATCAATTAGTATCTACCCGAAGGGAAGTGTATAAACGTAAAAATCTCGACTTCCTTCCTATTCGAACGAGCGAGATACCGAGAGGAGGGAGCACAAGGACGAGAAACGAGCGGAGAAGGCTTCATTACGAAGAGCACCTCGAGCTCACCGGGTCTCAACTGAGGCAAGGAAGCAGCAGTGGTATCCCGCGACCGAAGCAGATCAAAAAGAAACGAAAGAGGCAGGCGTGCTCCCACGACTGGCGCCGCTTCGCCGCTCCGCGGCGTCTTTCTCTCGCTCTTTTGCTCTGCCACTCTGCTCCACTCCCTTTTCTCTCCTTTATCCACCGTCTCCTTCGTCGTTACAGACTCCCTTCCACTTCCCTCCTGTCCTCGTCATTTTCCACCGTGAACCAGACTTTAATGATTACAACCGATCGACTTTATTTCCGTGACGAACGCGATAAACAGTCGCCAATGACGAATGTCCTTTTTTGTTTTTTGCGAATCGTTTAAGTTGATTACGAGGTTCGCTGGGAGTCTTTAATTTGCTTTGATGTGTCGTGCATAATTTCAGTCGATCCTGTGATTATTGCAAGTTATGGGAATTTTATGTGAAATTAAACAGTCGAGTAATAAGAATTTGTGTGGTATCATTTTGGGAATTACGATTTGAGAAACTTTTTTAAGCGGAGTTTAAAAATTAATTTAGGATTACTTATATTTCATTTTCCGCGCATTATTTAAATGGAGTCTGTGAATATTGTAAATTATGGGAAATTTTATATGGAAAACAGTGGAATTATTATAATTTATACTGTATCATTTTGTGAATGATGATTTTTGAGAAGAGTTTCTTCAAAAAATTAAACTATTCACGATCTGACGAGAATGAAAATTACTTGGAACGTTTGAGAAATAACGTTTAAATCATGGAGTTGATGAATACCGTAACCTTGCTAAACACGATCCGAGTCCGAGATGCGAATTTACATAAACACGATTTTCACACAAACACGAGAAGAAAGTAAATTTATACATATGGAAGACGTGCTCTCGTCTTCAATCTCTTCCACGACCTCGTCCTCTTTCTGCGAGAATACATCTCTGCAAACGTGATTACTAATCGATGACAAAGGGGAAAAGTTGAACTCCGCCGTTCACTATCGTTCGAATAACTTTCCTACATTCTTTCCTAGTTTTCAAAACACTCGTAACGAAGGAAAGCACGAGTACACTTCCATTCACAAGTACCAAGACACTCGTTGAATGTGAAACAAAGTTAAACATTCGCTACAAAATTGTTGATATCGTGGAAAAATATGATTCACTCTGAAATTTCGTTGTACGACGGATATATACGATAAAACTTCTAAATATCTACCTCCATTTAAGGTGCGACCATAAAAATAACAGCGTGTCGCTGATTACGCCACACCAAATATTGTCGCGAAATTAAATTCGAAAATGAGTCTCAACGTCCGCTAAAACATAAGCATGTACAAGTTTGTCTATAAAAAATTGAAGCTGATCTTGAGAATTAAAATTTACTACAATCATCTTAAGAGCGTCTTTGGACCACGTTACGCGCTCCAAAAGAAATTTCTGTCTGTTCACTGATAATAAAACAATCTAAGGCGATTACGTTAAGCGATTCACCCCGTGTATCGCTGCCTTTTGGTTACGAATCAGCGCCGATAAAGCGAAGTTTGTTCGAGGGCAACAGAAAGCATGGAGGACCGAACGCGTGGTTACACGGTGCACTGAAAGGCGGCACGTAACAGATGAACGAGAATACATTGAGGAAGGCGTGGGAAATCAGGTTCTCAAGCACTCTGAAGAATTCCTTTGTGGTTGGATTTTTAAGCGGATAAAATATGTCGCCGACGCTCCGCCTTATACCTAAAATCATCGCCGTCTCACACCGATGACACGCAAACGTTACGCGTTCTTCGATGGCCAACAAGCTAAATGTATTATCCCGGTGAAATGCGAGAAATGTGTAATTCCACGTCAAATCTCGCTCTTTCTGCAAATTCGACACATTTATTGATAGGCATGATAAACTTATTTTTTTTCTTAATTTTTAATTAAATTGAAATTAATGTAAATTTTAATCAAATTTTGGTTTCCTATATGGAGCAGTTTGTAAGATGTTAAATACTGAAGTGTTGAGAAATTTAGTAAAATAGATTGGCATTTAACTTAATATTTCTGGTTGGCTAAGAGATACTAACTTGTGTTTGGGATCATTTTAAAGGAGAGAGAGAGTGCTTCTTTTAATGTGCACTAAAATTATTATCAGAAGAATCGAGAAAAAAGGGAGGCTAGGGTAATGTGTCTCGAGTACGCGAAACTCGAGTCGTGCGTAGTAATGGCGAACCGTGCGCCTTTAAAAATGTCGCCATAGCAGTCCTCCCGGAGTTTTGATATCCCTAGACTCCTCTAAAAATGTGTCGTAGGATTTTTCGATTTTACAGAATTTTTCATGTTTGTCGAAACTCTTCGATTTTCTAATTTTTAACTATTACTGTTTTTTAAGAATTTTTAAAGGACAGTCCTAACCAATAATTAGAGTTCTGATATTCCTACATTCTCTTATAATACGTCGGACAATTTCCCATTCTACATTATTACGTCACGTTTCTTAAAATCTTCAATTTTCTAATTTTTAACAATCTGTTACCATCTGTGGAAAATCTTAAAAGGACAGTGTTAAAACGCGAGAAAATTTATAATACAACAACCTAAGCAATTATTCTCTCCGCAACTAATCGTTTGATAAATCAATTTTTCACCGTTTGTAAAGAATGTCACTCGTAGAGCATACAAAGTGGTGAAATATGGAAAGGGAAACGTACGCAGCGAGGAACTGGAAGGTGAAACAGCTAGAATTAAAGTGTAGGCTTATAAGAAGCCGGATATGTCGAGAGTCATAGCGGTACTGCAACCGATCGACACAACCCAGTGGCTCAACAAATCACAGAGAACAATCGCCAGAATTTAATTAGCCGTTAACATTCTAACGCGCCTTGATGCAACTACAGCTCATTGTTAACCGGTCAGCATCGAGATCCTGCTGATCAAGCTTTGGTACACCTTCCATGGGCTGTTTTGTGAAATGCAAACGCTACATCCTTTAATGATGTGTCTCTGATAGTAGATGGATAGATTAGACGAGAGAATTACCATGAGTAACAATGGTAAATGCAAATGTTCTCTGTTAGAAAAAAGTATTTTCACTGCAATTTCAACTATGCATTTGTTACACGAATAGCGATACATGAATATTGAAGAATGATGAATTCTAGCCCAAATTTAAGGCTACGTTGTAAGTTAGAAATGGTGCCAACCCATTTTTATACGATCAACCCCACTTTTTGGTATTCTTCCAATTTTAGCGTCGAAACACATGCTTGACACTCAATTTTTCATAAATAAAACAAATTTAATAAATTTCATTTTACGGAGTTAGGCTTCCTTTTTGGCTTCTTTGGCACTTTGGCTTCTCGAGTGACTCGTATATCAATGCTACAAAATATACTCACGAGGTTTTGATGAAACCGTAGGCTACCAGATCGACGAAGCGTACCACCGCGAATATTTGCGTCCGTAAGCTCGAACTGGCGTCCGTAACTATCACAGCGTCTCGATAATTCCGACAATTCCGCAACCGGTTGCACCTAGAAACGAAAAATTATTCCATCGCGTTAATTACACGCTTTTTGCATAATTTCTTTTTTCAAAGTGAACGATATAATTGCTATATTGAATTGTTGCTAATGAAACGAGCGAGATCTTAATGGAACTTGCAACGTCTAATATTTATTGATAAAAGTACGATTGGAGAATGAGATTGTATATGTCTTTATTAGAAATTTCTGCATCTCTAGATGCAACGAAATTCTCGAAAGCGTTTTTCACCTCAGTTTCGTTACTAAATTTTCAATTAAAAAGTGACCTAAGTGTTTGAGGATATGATAGTCTGTCGACGATAAGTCTGGGAAATAAGATAGACGAGAAAGATAGTTCGTATTTGGATTCGTGCAGTTTCCAAATTATTGCTCGCAAAATATGAGATTAGGCGTTATCACGCAAAGCAGCTTGTTTTTCGCATCAATTTTCGACCATTTCTATCCTGCATTTATCGTCTCATCACTCTTCAAAAAATAACAGACCATCGAACTTTTCTAAGATCGGAGCTTTCTTAAGATCGTTACACTATAATTTTTCTCGAGTGTAAACTAGACTTAGGCATACATTTTGGTGCTTCAGTAACGTCAAGCCATTGAACTGAACGTCGACGGTAATCATGCAACGTCCACTTCTCGTCGATGGTTATAATCCTATGTAAAAATGGGTCGTAAAAAAGGGGGGAGCACACCTCTAGCCACCGTTGCTTCTGAATATCCCCTTCGATCGTACCGAACTCATTTGCCTAATTTCTTGGCTCTCCCTATAGCTTGCAGACGAGAGGAATCTGTTTAAGTTTCAACTCATATATGAAAAGCACCCGAGTTTTTAACAGCTATTTAACGATAAAACAATTGACGAGCGTGTTACTTTCGGTTAACTTCAAGCTTGAAATTGATGCGTAATACGTATCAATTTGGTGGTACATTTGAGGAGAAAATTTTGAAAAACTTTACGCGCTTGTTTCATATGCAACAACCTACTATTGGTAACACGTCGAGGATTTGGTGAAGAAGGATGTACAGACACGGAATTTAATAATAAAGCATTTGTTGCACAGTTGTTTATTTTGCTTTTCTACAAATAAATACTCTACTCTGATTTTTGAAGGAGCATAATTCGTGTGTATTCTCTCCCTTGGTCTCGGAACCCTCAGAGATTTCATCCGGATCGTAACTAATAATAAGTAAGATCGAAATTGCAACTACGATATCCTTTAGGTATTTGCAAGTAGATGAATTTTCCATAAATTCACAATGATTCTGTCAATCAAATTGATAAACAGAGATCGCCAGGACTTTTTTCCTTTTACACGTATTTTGTAATTTTCGGTACCACTGACGTGCAAATTAATCCCTCACATGTTCAGATTATATTCTGAAATGACTTGCAGTTGCGGTACAAAACCATTTTTCTTCTCTTTCCTGTTGAATCATTTAACACTTGCTAATAATTGTACATACATTATCATTATTGCTGACCACTGTCACAATAGAATTGTCATTTCGCTTCACCATCACCTTTTTCTTCAAAAGAAAAATCGAACGATTCCCTTTCGTTTTCCTTCACACTCGAAGCAGGGTTCCAAGGCACATTTTGCAGTGTATTTCTCAATGTACAAAATAGTTGATAGAACAAAAGGAAACCATCGAAAAATACACGACGTTGAGCTGAATGTTGCTTAATATCTCACTTTCCAACTCCAATTATACAAATACAAACTGTACACTTATAAAACATTCGGTATCAGAGCCAGGGCGTAGGCATGGAAATTGACAAAATCTCGTTCGAAAGTGAAGAAAATACAGCAAGTAATAACGTATTAACCCAGCAGGGAAAAACATTGTTCTCTAAACTCACCTTGACGGTGACGCTGTTGACAGAGCCCTTGATGAGATCGATGATTTCCTCGCGTGACTTGTCATCGACAATGATTCCATTGACCTCGATCAATCTGTCGCCGGGCAACAAACCGGTATCGTTGTTGTGTTGTATCAACGAGCCGGGCTCGGCAAAAATCACCGGTCTCATCTGCGTGACACCGTTAGCGGCTCGTTCCACGATCACAGCTCGACGTAACGAGAATCCGAAATCGTTTCGCGGCGGTGGTTGCCTCTGGATCGTTAATTCGCGAGGTTCGGGCAGTTGCAGTGGGACGATCTCCGGTAACTGTAGATCGACTCCCTGTTCTTCGAAGGACGCCGATGATCTCCACCTCGACAAACCCTGGGATTCCCCTATCGGCGACAGGCTGAACGGTGGCGTTGCGAAACTTGAATTTGTGGTGTCTGTTAAGGAGTCTGCAGAGGGGCTGGCGCTCGTTATCACCTGCAAGCAAATAAATCGTTCTTAGATTTATCTGAACATAACGCTGAGTAGAGTAATTATTCGGGCATTCGTGGTTGCTAGGATTTCAGTGATTTGGGTTGTTATCGGTATACATCGAAATTAGTTTACGGCTTGATAGATTCGTTTAGTATCGCTGTGTTTCACTACTATCAGTTCTGCTGAAGCATCGTCTCTTGTTCTTCTTTTTTTATTTAACAGTTACATTCTTAATATCAGTTCTACATAGTACGATGGATGCCTGCACATATACACACCTAATATTCATTAAATACTCGAACTGTGCATTTTGTACGATGTATTAGATATATAGGTCATACCGTACTTTTAGAGAATTGGTGCGTCACACCAATATGTATGTGACGGTTGGTAGCGAACGTGTTAAAAATGCTTAACCCTTTGACGATCTAATAAAATTACGAATAACAGGTAAAAAAAAAAAATGTATATTTCACACGTTTAATAATTACGTCGGGTATGATAATTTTTAAACCCTATGTCATAATTATAATAATAATATCTCGTCCTTTTTGAACTTTCTTCCCAAGAGTCTCTCTTGAGTTGAATAGTTATAAATATTTGACGCTCTGCCCAAGTTTCAACTGTCGAATAATACGTATAGTTGAAGAGTACGATAGAAGGAACTGAAAGAAATCGAACCTCTTCTTACTGGAAAACGTGAAACAACGAATTTATCTCGTCTAACCTGCAGTAGTTTGGTGTCGCCCTGATGATGATGATGGTGTTGCTGCTGCTGTTGACTCTGTTGAGCTGCTCGCTGGGGCGACACCTGCCACGAACCCTGTCCAGTCTGCATTTCTTCTTCGCTGCAAGCTTCCTCCTTATTAACGGCAATCCCAAGTCCTGGCATATGCGAGGACACGTTCTGGTAGGCGATCACCTCGTTCTGTAATGTGTTCCTGACCAGTAAATTGCTAGCCTCCTGGCAATTCGTTTCGTTGCCGTTCGGTAACTGACTCTCTTCTGACAGGGAATTCGCTGTGCTGCTAATACTCAAACGCGATCCCTTGAGGATTCCCCGTTTCGGAGGCTTCGGTGGCAACGGTGGTAGGTTCTTACCCGACTGTCCAGAAGCGTTCGTCGATACCGCCGAGCACGTGGTGGTCGTAATGGTAAGAGAGGTCAATGAAGTCTCCGAGGAGTCGCTCTGCGTCAAACCATCCGGCATCCTTGTAGACCAATTATTCCCCGCGCGAACACTCTGCCCCGAACTCGACGAATTCTGCGAGTTCTCGAGCAAATCGCGCTCCAAGTATGCAAAAAACGAAGCACTGTAATCAGCGGTGATACCGCTTGGTAATTTCTCTTTCTCTTTCCGGCGACCGGGAATTTTCAACGACCTCCGAACCTGTGAACAAAGTGGACAAGTTTCATCAATAGATCGCATAATCGTATTTCGCCATTTGTATCGTACTCTTAAAGTTAAATCTGATTTTTTCATACTACATCGAGTGGGGTATAATGTTCTGTTTTTGCGTATTAGATAGAAAAATAAATTAACACATCGAATGATATAAAAGTGCGTGCTCTGGTTGCCAGTACTCGACTTATCACTGATAACATGGGAATAATTGATGATTCGTGACGTGAAAATGTACTGAAACAGTCGTGTCGAAGAAACGTATAATACTTGGGAATTTTTCGATACAATTATTGCTGCAATAGTCGTTTAAAGTAATAAATATAATATGGGTTATGTAAAAAGTTTTTCGGCCACTCCTTGGAGAAAATTTAAGGGATGATATTAGAATCCGATATAAGACGAAAATCAAGAACAAAAAATTGCGTTTGAAGCCTTTAATTTAAACGTAAAAAATAAGTTTTAGCCCCTGTCATAACGTGCCCCGTATTCATTGATGTAAGGTGGGTTGCTCGGTTCCAGGGATATTTTAAAATCTTAATACTTAAAAAACGAAGCTTCAAACGCAAATTTTTTATTCCTGATTTTCGTCTTGCATTCACTACTAGAATCGCCCCCTGAATTTTTTCCCAGAAGTAGCCGGATATCCTGTATATAATGTACAGAAGGCATGAGCTAAAAGTTCACCGGACGCATATGTATATGTACAAGTGTCGATTGTTTTCGCTGAACGCCCTGCATGAGGTTATCGGCTACGCTTATGGTTCACCACTCTGAACGCATATACGCGTTGATCGTTTACAAAGGGTTAAAAGCTCTGGCGGAGAGGTAGCAAATACATTTGACCTCTACAATAGTAACTCCCCAACATTATAGAAGCTTGCACTAATGAATAGAAACCCTCTCAAAGCCTATTTCCTTTTTTTATTTGAGCTGAAAGAAACTTTCAGTAGAAAGCTATAAAGCTTTACATTGATTTTTACATAGCTTTTTTTAAATAAACAATTGTTACATTAGGTATATACAGTAATGCGAGATAGTATCTTAGGGAGAAGAGATAGACAATCTTTGGTAGCGCACGCAAACACAGGTCCGGAAATTTCTCTTTTCTAGAGTATAAACAACTTTTGTTTACTATCAAGTTTAACGACAATATTGTTTAATTGTACGAATAATTAATGTCTTCCAAGTCGACTTGGCATTAGATTCAATATTTAGTTTATTTCTACAGTACCAATTCTTGGTATTGTCGTTTTATGTAACAACAATCGATATATTCCAAGAATTTTGTACTGCGTTCGACAGAAATAAAATAATTCCCGATAATTTCTTTAACAAAGTAAATATATACAAATGCGTGTTTATATCTCGGAAAATGAAAAACTTCCAGATCCATGTTTGTACAAACTTTCATTATTGCGAAGATGAATGAAGGTTGGCGCTTCTCAAGTTCGTCGACCTATTCTTGTTACACCCTAAATGGACACCATTTAGAATACTTATATACTCTATTTCGTAATACAATTGACATGATAGAAAAAGAATAAACAAAAAAAGAAATACGTACTTCATCTAAACGTAGCAATTCCTCGGCAGACATACTACTGCGATCTCGTTTTTTGACATCTTTTCGTTCCTTCTTCTCCCGCTTCCTCTTCTCCTTGTCATCCTTCTCCGTAGCCTTCTTCATAAAGTTAAACATCTTCTCATTCACAGCACCGATCTTGATTTGAACGTGAGAAAGAGATAGCACAAGATATCTCCCCTCTTTTGATTGCTTGCGCGTGCACAGTTTTACGCGCAGTCGCGTATTTTCGTGAGCCTCGCACGCATAATGGGACACTGTCCATTGAAACGACCTATGTATGCTCAGTCATACTGTCGTTACGTGCAAACACTAAACAACCGACCGAAAATCACCCCTGCAACGACGGACTATGCACGACGGTTGCGAAGACGTCAGAGGAGGGGGAAGGGAGAGGGCGTGCACGCTCGCTCAACGTTGCGTACGCGTTAAGCGAGCACAAATCGGTAACAGGAAATTCCCTGTCACGAGCGAATTCCGAGTAAACGATACGTCACTTTCGATACCCCGTTATTTCACGATGCAATACCAGACACGTTCCTTTCTACACGTTGCGATGTACATATTTCCATTCGGAACGGAACTTGACAACAGTCACACAATGAACAACACTCGCGCATTACTAGTCAAATATACAGCACTGGGTATTCACGCGACACAGATCGTGTGACACTAAAAGTCTTGATAAATTCTCAGTCGATAATTGATACAACGAAATTGGACGCGTACAGGGGCGTGAACCTACCAGAGCAAACTGTTTCTTCATGGCCGGTCGTTTCCGGCATTCGACCCCAACCAAGTATGCGAAAGCAGGATTTTTCGTAAGATTTTCTTCCGTTGTCTTACTTCTTACGTCTCGTCACGAGCAGAAAAATATCACTTTTATCGCGCGGACGCTTTTAAAACATGCTGCCTTCTCGTGCGACGCGATACGATTGATCGAATGCACAATTTTTTTGGCGTACTTTAATAGTCTGCCGTTACATTGCTCCTGTTAAATTTCCCTTTCGTAACTTCGCCAACGGGGAAACATTGTTCCACGTGAAAACAATATCGTGACAATCGCGCGTGACAGCGAACTTTTACCTTCTCGAGACTTTCGAGTCACCGGTATAACGACGAGGGAAGGCGGAAGGGAAGGATAGGAATACGCGTGCCTAGAACAAAGAGGAAGAGAGGA